TTATACAAAGATATTGGGAAAAAAGATGAAGCTTTAAATGATTACAATAAAGCAATTCAACTTGATCCTAAAAATGCACAGGCCTATTAGAGTAGAGGTCAGTTATTAAAATTTATATTAGGCATTTTATACAAAGATATTGGTTTAAAGGATAAAGCATTAGACGATTATAATCAAGCGATTCATCTTGAGCCTAAAAATGCACAAGCCTACAACAATAGAGGTAAACTAATAAATTAATATTAGGCATTTTATTCAAAAATATTGGTTAGAAAGATAAAGCATAAAGTGATTATAATAAAGCTATCTAACTTGATCCTTAAAATGCATACACCTACAACAATATAGGTGATTTATTTAGACTAATTGTAGCGATTTTATTCTAAGAAACTGGTGAAAAGGACAAAGCATTAGACTATTATCATCTAGCAATTCAAATTGACCCAAAAAACGCACATGCTTACCACAATCGACAAAGACATTGGCTAAAAAGATAAAGCATTAAACGATTATAATTATTCAATCATTCTTGATCCAAACTATGTATATGCATATTATAACAGAGGTAAATAATTTATTGTAATATTAGGTAATTTATATTTTGATTGTGGTGAAAACGATAAAGCATTACGCGATTACGATTAAGCAATCCAACTTGATCCTAATTTTGCATCGCCATATTACAAAAGAGGTGAATTATTTAAACTAATTTTAGGTATTTTATACAAAAACATAGGAGACTTAAAAGAAGCTTTAAACAATTACAATCAAGCAATATTGCTTGGTCTTTAAATTGCATGTGTCTACTGTAATAGAGGTGAATAATATAAATTTAATTTTAGGGAATCTATACAATGACATTGGCTAATAAGAAAAAGCATTAAACGATTATAACCAAGCAATTCAAATTGATCCAAAAAATTCTTAAGCTTACAATAATAGAGGTAATTTATTTAAATTATATTAGGCATTTTATACAATGAAATTGGCGAAAAAGACAAAGCATTAAACGATTATAATCAATCAATCAAACTTGATCCTAACTATGGATATGCATACTATAGTAGAGGTAATAATATATTGTAACATTAGGCAATTTATACATTGATATTGGGGAAGTTCACAAAGCATTAAATGATTATGATTAAGCAATACAACTTGACTCTAACAATGCGATGTTGTACAATAATAGAGGTGATTAATTTAATTTTAAATTAGCTTAATTATACAATGTCACTGGCTAAAAAGATAAAGAATTAAATGATTATTACCAAGGTTTAACTGTATCCCCTTCTCATCCATTATTACTTTGCAATATTGGCTGTTTTTATTTATCAAAAGGAAATCATGCCAAAGCATTGGATTTTTTTTAAATGCTTATAAAAACAATAAATAATCTCACCTAACAATAAATATCTCAATTCTAACTAAGATAAAACAATTTCGATTATATTAAAAACAAGATTGAGTTATTTGAAAAAGTAAATATAGAAAATGAAAAAAACTCTATTTCAGGAATACTCAATAAATTAAAATAATAAATTGGAATGATTCAAAAAAATTAGGAATTATAGTATGATTAATCCCTCATTGAAGTACTCAAAAATTAATACTAAAAAAGTTACTATAAATCTCTATTTTGGAGGCTTTTCAATTATCTAAATGCTTTGTAACAATTTTTTAAAGACATAATTATAAGTAAAGATGAAATAATTGAAAACAACTCAGAAAAGTTACAGAGAAACTTCTTTGGTAAATCTTATGGGATTATTAATGCTGCACTTGATGATGCGATTGATACAAAGAATAAGAATCAACTTAACAGAAGATTAAGACTTCTAAACATCATCATAACTGAATTTGTCGAAGGAAATCCATCAAAACTAGAAGAAGAGGTTAAAATCGCAGCAATTTAATTAGCGAAACAGCAAGAGCCCGATATGAAAGAAAGAAAAAAGTCAATATTTAGTTAAAAAGTAGAAGTATTAGTATCAGAATGCAGCTATTCAGGCTCACAAAATGATATCTATGAGATTTAAGGAGCAGAAGATGCATTAATCATTTTACATTATTTAGAAAACAACTCAGAATAGATATTATAGGAAAAACATAAAAGACTGAGAGATATATTTGAAGATGCTGTTAAATAATATTAATATATACCAAAGGTAGAGACAGGTATTTCTTCTGCATGTTTAATGATGTGATTAAGATCATTAAACAATATTAATTATAGTATTTATTTTTTCAAATTAAAATTAGAACTATTTAATAATGAAACATTCTGGTATATATAAATTCTAGAAGTCAAATTAATTCAAAGTTGGATTTTGAGTGAACTTTTCTTAAAGTATGTTCTTTAATTAGTAATATATAAGCATGAAATATTAAATGCAAAAAAGTATTCGAATTTTTGTTAGCTCTACATTTTTTTCGTAAATCTGCAAAGCCAAGAATATAAAAAATGAAAGGAAAAAAAACAAGAATACCTTATAAATACAATTTTAATTTTTTATTCAATTCAATTATAATACTTCTTTTCAAAAATTATCATAAAAATTCAATTCCCTCTATGTATTAGTCAAATTAA